AAAGAATTATTATTAAGTTAGTATGATTGGCATTCAAAGAAACAAATTTCATTGCACTCCTGTCTACCGTCGGCTTTTTCTGTCATTTTAAAGTGAAAAGAATCCGACCATCCACACATATCAGAGCATAAAATTTGATTCTTTCTCGTGGAACCACTTCACTGTTACCTCTCATGCAACTTCCGCTTCCACATGATCAATTCAAATAAAATAGAAATAACAGGCAAATGAATGAGAACAAATGCAGAGAGTTGCAGAAATTTGGCTCTGAAATATCAGACGAAGGATGAAAGTCTTGAGGAATAGTAAAATTTGAAATATCAACAATATAATTTATATAAGAATGACGTTATTTTCTGAATTACGGATTACTATGAATGTCATTAATTAGTAACAGATGAGGTAAGAGAGAGACAAATGAGGTGCAGAGAAGCGAGCAAACCCTCTCCGACATAGAAGACGACATGAAATTAAACATGTTGTTTTGCTGGAAATTTTTGCAGTGATGTGGGAGAGGAACGGCGGTTGTGATGGTGGTGGTGGTGTTGATGTCTGCATAGTGCTGCTGTACGGCTGTACACTGTAGGAACAGAGCTGTTCCACTGATGATGCATTTACAATTCCGCTTCTTACTTTTTTGTTTTTCGCGAAAATTAAAAAAAAAAACAAGGATAGCGGCAAACTAGACATTATTGCTATTGCTTGTTTCTCTTTACTAAATTCCACTAAGCTTTTTTTAAAATAAGTTTGCAAAAATGAAAAGTCATTCATAAATTGTTCTGAAAATGAATTGCGACTCATCAAAGCCCAGTATATCTGTCTATCAATGAAATCCATCTGAAACAATTTAAACTTCATCGAATTAATTGTTTCATAAATCTGAAAAAATATCGATCGTTTTATGATCATTGCCATTTATATCATCATTTATTCGATATACTATAAACATTAATCTGACAAATCTGATCTGATTATTATTTATTTGTTCAGTAAAATAATGGCCGAACATTAGATCAAATTTGGATTACAAAAAAAGATAAAAGCTTAAAGATTGCAATAAAATACGAAAAGAAAATATTGCAATGATATTATGGTATCAAAAGTATTCCAATTCAAATTAATGCACGAGAGATCAAGCTGAAATGATATTCATTTAGCCATTTGGTTGTCATAATCACAGAATTACATTCTATTGACTGATACAGTGGAATTGTATTGAAGAATTTTTATTTTCGTCTTATTATTGAAAAAAAATTAAGATTAGCAGTTTTTTTATTTTTAATTAAAATTATCAAGTAGAACACGTAGGAAAAAATACTACCACTTATCATTTATTCCAATGATACCTTCATCCTTTTCATACACTGCAGTAGAAATATTATTTTTAATTTTGACAACTTTGAGGGATTTTAATAGAACTTAGCAAGACTAATTACAGGACACTTTGATGACTTGAAAAAGAGATGAGTTAGAATTTAAATTTCCTTAAAGCAACAACCTTAAGGTATCGCACTATAAGCACCTTACTATAAATGGTGTCCTTCTATCATCCAATACATTGAATTCCCAATAGCATTTAGTTAGCAAGACTATTTGCCGTCGTGAGCCATATAAAGAATGGACGGACAAGAGTATTATACTTTTTCTACTACTATTCTTCCATCAATAATACGTCAGTGGTAGAGCAAATAGCTGTCGTAAGGCATTTAAGATAGAATAATTAAGTTAAAGGTTATGGGAACATTTAATAAAAGATTCAATTTACTATAATACTTTGCTAGTTAATATGGAGCAAAAATTTGCTTATTATTTTTGTTTGGTCATACAAAACAGAGAAAAATTTATTTTCGTCAACCAATCGTACTGAATTATGGTTGCAGAGATCTGTAACACCAATTCATACCAATAAATTAATGATAGTACCACAAAAGAAGGTGTTCAACAATGAAATAGGGAAGAATGGTCTGAAAGCATTTATTCATTCTTGCAAAGTTCCTCCCATCTTCTGAACGCGGACTAAGTATTGAGAAGTCTTGAGGACAAGAATACCCGATGCATTCATGTTTTCCTGTCCTGAAAGAAAAGAAAATTAATACACCGTTTCATTATTCACATTCCATGTCAGCAATTATTAATCATTTTAATCAATGAGAGAAGGAAAAAATTGCAAATTTCAAAACTTTCAAGGGGGAAATTGTTTCCATACAAAATCGGAAAACAAAATGGTTAATTTTGAAAAGCCACGTTAATTTTCACTCATCCATCATGATTTTAATCTTTCGATTTGAGTGTACCTAAGTAACAAGAGAAATTTCATTGCTTTTTTTTTTTAACTTGCAATAGTTGGTTGAAGGAAAATAGAGAAAATTTTGAACAATATGATTTACTTTTGAAACTTTGAGCGTGCAGATATCAACTTGTTTTACAGTTTAAAAAGAAAATTGGAAAGCAAGACGAGACAATCATTACTATTTCATCATGCATATATTTGCCGTTACACTTAAAAACTTTCAATATATAAATTTTGATCTTCATTCAATTATTCGTAATTATAACAAAAAACATTCATAGCATTTACGTAATTCGATAAAGGATTTAAATTAAAATTCATTTATCAAATGTGCTAAAGAATAAATTAGCAAGTACAGCTATCTTCGTTATGCAAGGAGTAAGTGCGATCTATGCTTAACTTCATTTATTATGCAAATCAGTTTAAAATTCAAAAAAACTAGAGCTTGAATGCTTAATTTTAATTAAAGATTGAAATTAAATATGAATTAAATATGGCAATTGTTAACTCACATTAATTTTGGCAAAAAAATTTAAGCATTTTCTCTTATATCATTTATGTTACGCTGTGGAGCTAAAAAAAGAGCGCTATTTTTCGATCTGAAATAAAGCGATATCTTATTCATACATAAATAATTTGCTTAATTCTATTCAATTTCGACGTCCATCGAAATTGAAATTTCTCTTGATAAAGAAATTAGTGACGAGAATGATAAAGTAGAAGAAGGCTTTTAAAACCCTCCGTAAATTGAATTGCTGATCTATTCTTGAATGATGAAAGGGAAGAAGCAAATGTTAACGCCATACTTTTATTTGCTTTAAAATAATTTTCCTACGAATATGAAAAAAGTTATCGGTCATTTATTACAGAAAGTTTAGCATAGACATTTGAGCAATGCTGACAGGTCAGGTGATCTATTTGGATATCTTACATTGATCGCTTCATTATAATCAAATATGTACATATATTATTGTCCTTCTCAAAGATGCTTAGGGCTTCAATGTCGTTTGATTTATACAGTCGGACTTTCGGTCATAATAAAAAAAATTTAACCATCGTTTTTTAATGATAATTAATAACGCTAACTGCTTTTGCAATATGCAAATATTGTCTGAACAAACTTGGAAGTGTCCGACAAGAAAATAACTAAATAAATAAACAAACCAAGTGATCAAACGCATAAAGCAAAGAACAGACCGTATATATTTCAATAAGTTCGCTGATTATGATTTTTTGATTTTTGACATCCAATAAGCATAAACTGATTATTTTGTTTTTCAGAAAGTTGAAATTTTTGATCGTTCTCATGTCTTCTTGATTGCTTTCGGCTTCTCAAATTCAGTAGACTGATAGTATTGAAAAAGCGATCAAAACAAGCTAAATTGATATGCTGTAACTGATGTCCTGTTCTTGATGACTTTCCGAATTGCAAATTTTATGCTTCCTCTGAATAATATATTTATTTACTATTAATTTACTTGAATACATAGTATATTGCATTTTCTTTGTTTCAAAAATACCTATACAATAATATAACAAAATGTAAAGATACGTTACAAACCTGTCGATGTTACCAGCAAAATCTAGTGAAGTAATTAAACTGGAAAAATGAAGATGGGAAATGAAAGGACGAAAACAGGAATGCAATGTATCTCTAAGAAGAAATCAACTCCTCCAAGTTTTATGAAACAGAAAAAAAAACTTTTCCCTGTAATATTCTGAAAATTAAACGAATTTATAATGAAACTTAAAACTATTTTTGTACTACAATGCTTATTTTGACTACTTCCGAATAATATACTTGAAAAGCCCTTCACTTATTCGTAGCTCATCAACAGCATCCTCATATGATCTTTAATGGCTTCTTTATATGCATGTATCTTAAGATAGTTCAGTTATTAACTCAAAACTTAACCTTTTTAGTCATTGACAACGATTACTTCTACTTCTACCAACTCGGATATTCTGTCCTGCTGCACATTTGTTTAACAATAAGTACAAACCACTACACAGAGCTATCATTTAAAAGAATATGATAAAATTACTGTAATGATGTCAAGCGACAGGACTGATGTTGAAAATGTGCAGTATAAAAGCTATTCATAGCAGTTGCAAAAAAATCAAATTTGAAACTAACTTCTCACTCTCATATGAAGTTTCCTGCTTTTCGTCGTTAATAAATAATCGAAATTTATCATTTTAACAACAGAGTAACAAATACTATAGAGAAAACAGTGCTGTATCCTGCGTACTTCATATACTTCTATTTTTTCAAATGTTCCTAAGAATAATTCCAATGTTAAAATAATCTCAATTGTTAATCGAAATACAAACCTGTAAATGATTATTCACACAATGTTAATCTCTTGCTAAAAGTATATAGAAGTTACAAGCTTTCAATGAATGCTCCAAAATTTTAAATAAGAAATCTAAATCCAAAATCAATTATAGTTTCACAAAAAAAGTTTAACACTTCTATAACGGTTTAAATACTTCTTCCCATTTGATTCCATGGTAGTTAGTCCGCAAATTGATTTTAAAAATGTAAAGTTCAATATTCGAAAAACAGTCCTTTTATATTGTCAATGTGATCTGAGTGGAGAAGGATAAAAAACTCTAAGTTTTAATTAGATTTGTCACTTCAAATGGAATAAGGATGGAACAACCTAAAACAGATAAATTATTGCACAATTAGCATTGTTAAATAGTATCATAACTGTTGAGGTAACAAAAAACATGAACGAATGAACTTCTGAGCCAAATACGGCATAGGTGCAAGTGAATATGATGGTCCAGAGAAGATTTCCAAATTGGATAAAATTTCTACAGGAACTTCGCTGTTTTTAACTTCTTTCTTGCCAACAGTTAATAAATTTGAGAACGGAGTCTTCTTCAATTTTGTATTCCTTGCATACAATTGCTTTTGCGCTTCTTCTAGCAATTCCGACCTTGCGATCACCCCATAGCCCTGAAATTATTTTTTTTGAGCAGAAAGGAAGCAATCATAAAGTCACCACAAAAATTTTAAAAAGTGAAGTCTTTAACACTGCACTTAATTCCAAAACAGAAAATAAAAAATATTGTTTTTTGACTTGCAGAATTGGAATAGCTTAGATTATGTGAAATAAAAAAATACTGTTGATTTAAATATAGTTTTTTTAGAACTAAGCAAACCTTTTCATAAGCAGCAATCACTGTAAACGTTCGGCCCTCTCCAACAGCAATAACACTTTCTAAATTCGCGTTTAATTTCCTCTGACACAGTAAGGTACCGGAAGAGCTATCGATCACAGAAATAACTGCAAACTCCGTGTTTATTATAATAACAACACAAATTCTTGTTATGCAGTAATCGGTCTGGTAGTTTTTGATGCCACTATCTGCATCCTGTATAGATATTAAAACTTTTCAATAATAATTTTAAAATAGAAATTTTTTCGATGAAAAAAATAAGAACCGTTTTTATTATATGCAACCGTAAATTGTGATGTTACAGCGAGTCTTAAATCTGGTTCACAAACAATCCATAATGGTGCAAGAGTGTATACATTAAAAGCGTAGATACAACTTTTGGATGATATAATAAGCAAGTTTGCACTATTCGGAGGACCCCATTCCACTGCTGTAAGTTTGTCGTTACCCTGATGGACGTGAACTACACGTGGATATTTTCCCTGTTCCATACTCCACAGTGCAACAACTCCATCATTCTTCCCATTAATCTAGAAACTAATTGACTCGTAAATAGAAATCAATATTCAGTTTTACCTTGAAATACAGACTGTTACAAAATTTTAGAGGTTTCGAATTTAAAAGAAAAAAAGAAACATCATGAATCGTAGCAAAATGTGATTTTTGTATCCTTGACATATGCAAAATAGGAACACCCATCCAGTGAACTTCGCTGAACTTACACCACTTTTTCTCATCATTTTCCATCCTTTCCCAGATGCACAAAATTCCCTGAAATAATTTAGCAAGATATAATTAAGAAAGTAATTACCCTTAGTTAACAAAGAAAAAGAACGATGGTGAACAAATATTTTCTTCGCAGCTCCTAAAAAAAATCTTTCACTTATTTGTATTTGAAAGTGAGACATTGCGAAAATTCTGAAATAATTAACCTTATTGTCAGCAGTAATGAACATGTCAAAGTCAAGACAGGCTCGAATAAATTTTATAACTCTATCACCACACAGCTCGCAATATTCTAAAGCAAAAGAACCCAAATCTTTATTTCGACGCCAAAACTGCAACCGATTCTGAAACTATTCTTATTCAAGTTTGATGAGAAGCAAAATATACCTAGCTTTTAATCCAAATTTATGAGTTTTGTTTTGATCTTCAATTTAAATTAATAAGTCAAGATCTAATTATTAAACAATTTCTAATGAAGTACAAAAAGCTTACACTTGATATATCAAAACCGACATCACAATCAGCGGTTACTACCATTGTCTGTGATAATGCAACTTCACAAATGTCCATGTAACCCGTTGTATCAGAAAAAATATTTTCTCCTTCTACCGGATTCTCTCTAGATACATCAGCCTATAAAATGAAGCAGTAATGACCTTTTATCACCTAGATCTCTTTACTTATGCTTTGTTTCAGTAACAAACGGTTATTAAGAAATAATTCTTCTGACGGCTGATATTCAGTGTTGTGTCACTGAACATCACGGCAGTTTCTGGAGTCTTACAATAAGTCATCAACAAAATTAAAAAAGCATCAAACAATACTCACAAACTTAGGAGCAATAAACTATTAGGCATCTGTATTGCATACCACAAGAAGAAGATTACTTTAGACATCTACCAATAGTGCAAATGTCATATCTAAAAGTCATTTAGATGAAAGTTACAATGAAATACCGTTGCGATTGAAGTCATTGTAGATGGTACAATCCATTGCATAAAACCAGGACGCGCACTGTGTACAACATAATTTGGATAGAGAGGATCCTCAGTAAGAGGAAACAGCGATTTTTTCGGAGAACAAAGAATTGATTCTACTGACGAAAGAACATTAAGTGTTGAATTGAGAATGAAATGTGCCGAGTTATCAGCCAGTACAATCGCTATAATAGAACTATCTTCAGAAAGACTAAGTCTTCGAACTGGTGCCTGCAATCTTGGTAACAGCTGCGGCTTAGAAATCGATTTTAATTCTGAGAGAGCAAATTTTGCCAAAACACCTTCATCGCCAGCAGAAAATAAGGTATTAGATTCGGTTAGAGCTAAGCACGGAGCCCATTTATGCCAATGTACTGAGTAACTGAACGTATTGATGCCTTTTCGACTCACATTATTCCTGAGGAATACTTTAAAATTCATGGCGACATAAAGTTTTGAATTGATAGTCGAGTTTATTTAGTAAAACTTTATGAAGAATTTCACTTAAAACGATCAGAAATACTCAGAAATTTCTAAAAAAGTGAATAGAACCTATCACTTATGAAATAAATTTCAGCTAAAAAAATTATTAAGTGTTAAAACACAATGCCTGCACATTTCGGTGAAATGTATTTGAGGCTTTTATCTTTAAATCAAATTAAAAACGAAATCATCAACAAAAATCTCTTGCTCATCTTTCTCCTTCACTTTATTTTGGAAATATACTTTTGTCCCCAAATTTCTATATTTATAATTTTTACGAACCATATAAAAACACGGCCAAATGATATTGAGGCTGCCACTGTATCGCCACGTGCTGTAATGCTTATAAATTCCAGCAATGATGAATCCATAAAATCAGCTTTACCAATATATTTGAATCGTTTAACTCCATTTTCACCAAAAGTGTACAGATATACAAAGAGTTTCTCACAACACACAAAATAATTAGCCTGAAACAGCATAGATTATGTTTCGCCCGAATTTTCATTACTTTTATATGAATTCTATAAAATTATCACTAGATGTCTTCATATTCTTTAAATCATACGGAAAGAAAATCGCAATCAAGTTCACTTACTGTGACAGCAAACTGAGAAGGTCCAATATTATGGGACCCAGTTCGTAGAATTTCTTGATTTTGCAGAATTTCGTTTTCGTTGATCTTTGTAACAATTAATTCCTTGCCCTCACCTTTGGTCACCATCTGGAACAATGAACAAATTGCAAATAAATTTGCCTGCTGACTAAATTTTTTTAATTTTTTTTTAATGGAACTAACCAAAGTTGTATCATATGAATGCCAAACATTAAGAGGTGTACAATTCATTTCGCGACAACGCAGAATAGTCCAGGTATCAGTGCTCCAGATATATTCTGCACCATCAGTGGTATAAGTTACTGTCTAAAATACTTTTTATGTAGTGGAAATTATCACGACTAATGTTTCACTACAATTGCCAATACAATTCCAATATGTAAATAAATAAAACTATGTCATTGATATCGAAACTCGAGATTTGAATTTTGTATAGTGTGAGCTACACCAACTGGCTTGCTCTGTTTACAAACTTCGAGACTTACTTTCCCTGGAAATGCACAATAAAGGCTGACAATCCTTGCAGGATGAGTTAGAAGCTGCATACGACGACCACTTTTTACCTCCACAACTAATACATCGTTATTAGAAATAATAAATGCCTGCCTGAAATCAAAATTACTGGTAGAAATACTTGTTCCGACATTGTTTCACATCTCATGTTGCTGACATGAGATCAAATTTTTAATTTTTTAGGGGAACAGCGACAGATTTTTGAAATAAATAAATTATTATGCAATAAAAAACCTTAGAAATGAAAGACAGTGAGAAAAACAGAATCGATCAAATGAGAAATAATGCGTGAGTGATAAAAAAATTAGAACGTTTCTAAACAAAATGTCTAGTTTTCCAGGAATGAAGCACAACTTTTTATCACCTGTTATCAGTACTGAATTTTATGGCGGCTTCAGCGATGTCAAATCCAATTCTTCTCGACTCTTCCCAACCACTCCAATCCATTTAACCTGTGATAAAAATGTTTTTACTAATACTTTGAGATTCACGTAACTGTTGGAATATATGAAGATACCTACATATCTCACGTACGCAACGAGATCTGAGTCCACAACACAAAACTAGATGTTCGGACACGAAGTAGCTAAACTGGTCAGTAAAATCACCGATGCTGTCAGTCCTACTAAACATCGGAAGAGAAAGATTTCGAAAAGAATGTAGAAAGGATGAAGATATCAATATATCCAACCGTGAAGTACCACACAGACGGACTGAGTGTAGTTCGAGTTAACTGACCCCACTTTAGTAATACCGGTCAATCTTTTTCTTTCTCTCTCATTCTCCTTCTCCTTCTCTTTCCATCTTCCTCCTCTCAGTTTTTCATTTCGTTTATTTTTAAATGTAAACGACAAATATTTACGCATGACAATTGAACAGATAGGTAACAAAATGGCGGAGGGAATTGTGACAGAAAGAAGGGAGTTTGATATCAATCTGGTCACTGAACTATTTAAGAACTCACTTGTGGGTGACAATGACGTCAGCTTACCGCTATATATTGACGCATATCGACAAATTAACAAGTAAGTAACGCACCTTATTGTGTGTTTTGAAATTCTTATTTTGACTAATCAGTTTGCATTGCTTAATTTGCTTGGAAGACAGTTAGCACTAGATAAAAATGATAAAAATGAGGTTGGAGATTTACTGATTCATTGGCTGGGATTGCTGGTATATTAAAAATAATATATAAGCAGTTAGTAGTTAACTGTAGATAAAAAAGCTTGGATTTGAGAACTAAAGAATGGTTATTATATGATCGCTTAATTAGAAAAGCTTTCATGTCGTACTAATCTATTTGGTGAAAAAAACGTACTAAAATAGAGAGCTAATGTTGATCTATAAAAAATCCTTCATAGTTGGATATCGAATCAGTGCTGACTTCTCTCTTTAATTGATAGAATTGCTGACAGTAAATTTAATGATATTAACTTCTTTTCTGTTTTAGAACAAAAGTCACCTTTGTTCTTGTTCCGTGATACACACCATGTTGTGATATTAACAAATTTGTTTGTTAATAAAGAATGATGTATCTTTTAAATCACTGCGGTAGGGCATTTTACTGTAGATTTCTTGTGTTGCCGACAATGACTGAGGATTGAACGGTAAGTGTTCTATAAACGTAATCCTTGTAAATCAACGAATAAAGGATTCCATTCATTATTTGTTCATAAACAAACTTAAAATTATTCCAATAATATATAGTAATATATGCATGCATGTTTCAGGACATGGCTAATTTTCGGGAAAGAAATTTTCCATTAATATATTTGAATTTTTTAAAGCAGTTTTGTTCCAGATTTTTCCCACTTCTCGGTAAAGGATTTTCTTTTGTTGAGAAAGATTTATTGGAGAAAGAAAAAATCCTGCATGAGTTACATGCAACCGATCCCGTTCATTATGACACTGTAAATAGCATGGTATCGTGGGAATGTCGCTCAGGCGCATCATCGGAAAAAGTAACTACGTTGGTTGTGTATATAATAGATTAAAGCCTAAAAAATCTTGCGAGACAAAGGTCCTCCTTCTTACTCATGCTCTACGTATTTGGTAAAACTTGAATTTCATTGAAGGGTTCAAGGACACTGCTACGACTGCATAGGGCTCTATTATTTGTCATTGATTTTTTGAAGAATTTGAAAGATTCCCGTGAAGGAGATCAGGTATGTTCAGGGTTTTTCAAACAAGAATCCTAAATATATTTCCCAGCCGGCTTGTCCAAGTAAAGTATGTAATCGTGCAAAGCCCATATATTAATTTGGAATCAATATGAATAACTTCTACTTGAAGGGAATATGCAGTAGAATTTAGTTCTACTGCACATTAATCCTAAATTTCGTTGCCGCAACAGAATAGAACAAGAACGACATATTTTCACGAGATGCAGAGAAATCGTCGTAAATTGTGCATAAACTTAAAGTGAAATTATTTTCTGGATAATTTCAGATTTCAGCATTATGTCAGGCGAGCTATGATAATACGCTGTCGAAACATCACAGCTGGTTTGTTAGGAAGCTTGTTGGTATGGCGACTCATTTACTTGCTTCCCGAGATTATTTGTTGAATGCACTTATAAATGAGAAGAGTCCACAACATGAGCATGAAGTTAAACAGGCAATTACCAAATTGATTGATGTTACAGAAGAAGTTTTCCATCGCTTACAACAAATTTATGAAGATAAAAACATTTTGAATCTTCCCTAAAGTGCTTTAAAATCTAAAGCGAAATGATTGCATAATGGTAAAATAGGGAATGTCCTCACAATAATTTTTCTTTTATCAATCATTTCCGATGTCACGCATTTATGAATCTTTAACCAATGTATGTAAAATTCTGCCAATCGCTTTTATAATGCATGCTAAGATTTTGCTATTTTGCTATTGGATTTTCAACTTCTTAATTTAATTGGTTCATCTCACAGTTAAGATAGCTTTTTTCAGCTGGTTATCTCAAAAGTCCCGCTAAAATTCAATTCATACAATTTATTGGTTGTTTTTTTGTCATTTTTATATCCGAAACATGCCAGAATCTAAAATTAAAACATCCCTTGTAACTAAACATTTTCAGTGTTATTAAGCAGTGTAATTTCAGCTTTTCTTAACGTCTAGAAGCGAATTCTTTTCATATTCTCGATCTTTCTGGGATATCTTGCTCCACACTCCTTACTACTATGAAAAAGCGAAAACTTGTCTTTTCAATGAAACATGCAACGGAATCTACAAACGCCATCCTCTTACTTTCAATACATCAACACTTCCTTTGTATCACTCTCTTGCAACAAATTTTGAAGTGCTTATTGTACTGAATTTTAAAGCATTAATACATTACTTTTATTACCTTTACTTTAGCAATAAGGGAAAGGTGACCAAATGTTCAAAATACTTGGATTTTTTAATAAAAAAGGTAATATATCCGCCTTCTATCCCTATTGTAAAACCATTTACTGAAATCAGCAGCAAACCTGTTAATTTCAGCAATACAGAATTTCACACAAAACGGAGAAGGAGTAAAAAAGTATTCTGAATTTGGACAATACCATGCTTTTTTCTAACATTTTTATTTGTCAAAGCATGTACTACACTATAAATGTTTCAACGACTTCAGCATTTTTGTGATCTTTGTAAAAGCGTAAACAATTGAGCGCGTAACACCCGCAGAAAATGCATTTTTTGCTGTTTGTTGCAAAGCAGTTTTTCGAACAATATCTTTAACGGCTGCAGCAATAGGTTTGGATCCATCCAGTTGTCGTGCCAGTGAAGCAGCAATCTCCTCTTTAACCATAATATTTAGAGCTTTGAATTTTTTGTCTGCTTTACAATAGCAAATGCTATAGTTAAAAAAATGATACCTATATCGTTTTGCGTTCCGTTTTTGCTGTTGATTGTGTGTTGTAAATTCCAAAGTACATTAAATGGTAATTCCATAATTCTTTTAAAAAATACAGAATTGCACCTATCCTAAAGAATTAATACGGTACAATAATGGGAGCAACAGAGAATTGAGGCAGTAGTTTATTTTTGATTCTAAGTTTA